CTGCGGAGTAATTGCTATAATGTATGTTTGCAAGGTGGCAAAACATATTTGGTTTGCAAATTTTCACTGTCCTGAAAATTATGAGGGAAGAAAATTTGAAGTGTGTTTGCCTAGGTGAGGCTTTTTCCACTGAATGGCTGGTGGAATTTCTAGACTTCCAAGTTTCAAGGTTCATTTCTATGGATGGAATGTGTCCTGATGTGTTTACAGTACAGCTGAGAGATTGATTCAGAATCTCAGCCTCCTTTGTGACCTCAGACAGTGAAGAAACTTCCTCAGAGATCTCTAGCCTGAATGAAACCCCATTTTTTTAAAATCCACAAGCATTTAGAATCCTTCATGATACCTAAGGGCTTATAAAAGGAGTGCTCTATTGCATAATATTCCAGGTTGGAGATGTAGGATGTTAATAGATTAAAATACAGGGGCTGAGCGTGATGGCTCATGCCTGTAATCCCAGCACTTTGGGAGGCTGACGTGGGCAGATCACAAGGTCAGGAGTTCGAGACCAGCCTGGCCAACATGGTGAAACACCCGTCTCTACTAAAAATACAAAAAAATTAGTGAGGTATGGTGGTGCATGCCTGTAATCCTAGCTACTCAGGAGACTGAGGCAGGTTAATTGCTTGAATCCAGGAGGCAGAGGTTGCAGTGAACTGAGATCATACCATTGCACTCCAGCCTGGGCAACAGAGTCTCTGTCTCAGAAAAAAAAAAAAAGGCAGGAAAAAGAAATAATCAGGCGAAGATATGTTATTAATAGATGAATACTCCCAAATATCTGTTTCTAGGGAAAAATCTTTTAAAAAACAGAGATAATTAATCCCTGGGAGGGCTAAGCCTTACATATAATGATAGATCCTTTAATGTTCTCAGTATCTTCTCTAAACACTATGATTCAAGAGAAACTGTTTTTCTTATTTTAAAGGCTGAACAAGACAGGTGGTAGTGTTAGAATATTTGTGTCCCTTGTTCTATAATATAGATCCAGATGCCGGAGAAGACCTGGAGATTCTCTTCAATAACTAAGGACTTTGGGATTCAAACTCAACTAACATTCTCTTTCCCTTTAACTTGAACTTCAAAGGCACTGGAGCTTTGAAAATACTTGCTGAATCCATTTGGAGAAATTGCTGTCATCTTGACATTCTGTGCTTTTCGTAAAATTGTCCAGTCAGTGGAGTCTTGGGTATATACATTACATAACATGCTGTTTGAACAGGTACATATAATGATTACTTCGTATTTCTGAATACACTGGCCACTCTCCTAAACTATAGAGGCAATCACAGTAAGTTATTTTTAATCCAGTTCCTTACATTTCTTCTTTCTCCCAAGGGGTTTATAATTAAAATAATTAAAGTATTACATCTGATATTTGATGGACAATGACTTCTAAATGTTTTAGGAAAATTTGCAGAAATATTTATTCTCCTCACTGTGTATTGATATAACTACAATTTATCAGGAAAAGGTTAACATTTTATGGATTCCTGAGTCAATTTCTAGGCTTTTAAGTGTGAAGAGAATGCAGTAGGTAGATGGGTCACTAAAGGTTTCCTCCAGGTGTAGGGCATATGATGTAATGATTTATGTACATAAACAGATTGGCTTTTGTACCATCACTCATTTCCTTGAAATAATACTATAACTTTGAAAGTCTCCAGGGATGAAAAAGACGTAAAATTTCACCTTGTACTAGTAGGAGGAGGTGTGAGAAACAACTGAAAATAAAGACAGACAAATATAAAGTAGAGCTGACAGGGTGTGTGACCATCCCTGAGCTCAGGACAGGTCAGTATGGGAGGGAAGAGAAGGAGAGAATTTGGATTCTGTTTTTCAAAGAAAAATTTCAGCTCTAAGACTGGAATCCAAAAGGCAAGTGCATTAAAATACACGTTCTGCAAGTAAAGAGTGTACCCTCTGCTGTAATTGGGAATCTATGTTAAACTGCAGGCTTAGGGGTATTTTTTATTTTGATTCTATTCATGTGTTCTCAAATAGTGTTTTAACCAAGTGAGAACTTGTTTCTTTTACAATGGATGTAGTCTCATGGCTGAATTTCTGCATCTCTGAACTCAGACTTAGCCCTCTTTCTTACACAATCAAGACAGGTATTGGAAAAGATAAGACATGAAAGTTAATTTTGTCACTGTAGGGTGACTTTTTCCTTGTCTACACTCGTATTAAGGTATGTTAAGGAAAGCCAGATGTGATGGAAAAACCTCACTGTGTTGGGCCGGCGTTATTAGACCTGGACTTTCTTATTATTCTCTGTCACAAATAAATTAGCTGTGTTTTCTTGGACGTTACCTCTTGAGACTTCAGTTTCTTCATCTTTAAAGTACAGACAAGTTGATGCAATGCAAGATGCCTGAGGATTTTTAATGTGTAACAATTCTAGAGTCTTGTCCAGTTGGACCCTTGAACTCATTACATCTGACTCTGCATTTCTTAGCTTAGCAAAAGGAATGCCACTAATTTCTTATGGCCACAGATGATAGCTTTGGGTACTAGTCCACTTGTCCAAACTCTGGCACTGCTGAGTCCCAGAAGTAAACTGGACTGATACTAGAGAAGCACTGGTTAAGTGCTGAAGAGCTAGAGGCAGACATCTTATGCTTGAATACAGTCTTCTCTCTTTTCTTTTTTAAACTATAATTTTGGGTAAGCTGTTTTTCTTTTCATCACAGTTTACTTTTCTTTAAAATATGGATAATTGTGTACCAACTTCATTGTTGTGAGAATTAAGTGAAAAAATGCATGTAAAGCATTTGCTGTAGCACCAAGTATATGGCAAGCACTCAATAAAATGAACAATTATTGTAGGAAGTACAGAGTGTAAAAATAAATCTCTGCATGCTAGAAAGTAAGAATGGGGAAAAGCAGAGTTATAGTAAAAGTTTGCATTTCAAAATGAGTACATGAAATTTAAAAACTAACAAAAGTTTCTCTGTTTGGGAAGAAGTTGGTTTATGTCCTGACATCTCAATTGCAGTCTGAGGGCCCTTTTATGGGATATCAAGGTCTTTCTTCTAGGTTGACACTTTTCTCCATTTCTAATTTCTGTAAAAATATGGGTATTAGAGGATTGGTATTTGGCACACTATTGGTATTTGGACTAGGACAGAAAAAGAAACTGATCCTGTGCTTGAGTCTCCCAATTAACAGTGAACATTAAAGACGTCAATTTTGACATGAGACTGAGTTGTTCTGTTTGTATGTTTGTGGTCTGTAGGGAAATAGGAAGGAGATGAAAATTACAAAAAAGAACTGTTCTTTAAATATATTCTAATTACTTCAAGATATGCAAAATATTGAACTACTACGTGAAATAATGAAAATGAATGAGTCAAGTTTGGGGTTTTCTGTCTAGTTTTGATAAGGAAGTTTAACCTTTGACGTAGATCTTCAGGAAGTTCTACAAACATTAGTTGATTGTTGGCTCTCTCAAAGGCCATCTCCTCTAGGGAAAAGTTGGCAATTAGAAGTGCATTCAACCTTATTCTCAAGAGTTCCTGTGCCTGAAAGGATTCTCTGGAGCACTGGGCTATCCAGAAGGGAGACCATGATCCTGGAGCTTGGAGCTCTTAGGCCAGCTTCTCAGTGAAGCATTTGCGGGATCATCAGAAAGATGTTACCTTTTCATGCACCTCATCAGGTGTCATACCTATATGTAACAGGGGCAATTCATCTTAGCCGTCACTGCCTTTGTGCTTTAAGATCACATAAAGATTAAAAAAAAATTGAAATCTAGGAAAAAGTGAGAATTAATAATAGTAAAACTTAGTTTTAAGTACTGTCTTAAAGTTAATTGAATGAAATGTACGTTCTTCATTAAGTAAATGAAAATGGACTATGTATTAAACAGATTATCATTGATTATTCAGATTTGGCTTATTGACTATTGTATCTATGGTATAAAACCAGAGATCAAAAATCTTTGACTGGTAGACTAAAAATTATATTAGGAAGATTCTAAAAGGTCTATGGGCAGTCATGGCAGCCTTATCCTCGGTCCTGATCCTCTCAGAGCAGTTAGGGTCCAGTCAGGCTCTCTCCCTATGTCCATTTGGTGACTTGGTGACAAAAATTTCATGAGCACGTTATAGCAACTATATCCAGATATTTCCTGGATTCCCATCATGCACCAATGTATAATTCCCTATATTTGTTTTTCTGCATATTCTGCTCAATTTAAACATTCATGATTTCAGCCTCAGGACTCCAAGAAAAAAATAGAAACTGTATTTCTTTTCTGACTATACAATTAATTATGCAAGCTATAGAAAATACTAAAAAAATAAGGAAATAAAAATCACCCTTAGCTTCACATCCAGAAGTAAATGTCCTAAATATATTATTTCCTTATCAACTTTTTGTACACATATGTTTTAACATAGGTAAAACAAAACCTACGTAAGATTTTATAAGTGAAATTTTTGAACTTAAATTTTATTAACATATACATATAAAACCTATAATCTTAAAATACTGAATCTATAACTATTATCGCTAACTTTTAACCTATAGAATTCTTACATAATTATAATTAAGATATACAGACTATTTTGTGGTTTTTTTAGTTCATGTCATTTCATATATACATTTCAGAGTCTTATAGTCACCCAAACTATTACCTCTAATGACTGCATTAATTCATCATATTGATGTCCAAGTGAAGTTTTGCAACAACTACCCTCTAGGAACTGAAATCTCTCTCTTCAGTGTGTCCTATGTCTTCTAAGAATATTTTTGAGGTCAGGCTAATTAAAAACTAAGAAGTCAGCTAAAGAAGTTTACGGGTATCTTAAAAATCATGTGTTTGGGGGAATAAAAAAGAAAAGAAGTTTATAGGTATCTCTTCCTAGGGAGTTTTCGGAAAAGAAGGAATCATCTGTGAGATGGCAGCATACTGAAAAGGCAAGGTTTCAGACTATTTGATTATATCATGCTTCTTTTTTTTCCTTTCATTTTTCTAAGGGTAAAATATTCCTTCCTGGAGGTTTTCTCACCCACACTACATAGATGGAGAATAAAAGGAATGTGACTGAATTCATTTTAATAGGTCTTACACAGAACCCCAAAATGCAGAAAGTCATGTTTGTAGTATTTTTGGTTCTGTACATGATAACACTTTCAGGCAATCTGCTCATTGTGGTTGCCATTACCACCAGCCAGGCTCTGGGCTCCCCCATGTACTTCTTCCTGACCCACCTTTCTTTGATAGACACAGTTTATTCTTCTTCTTCAGCTCCTAAGTTGATTGTGGATTCCCTTCATGAGAAGAAAATCATCTCCTTTAATGGATGTATGGCTCAAGCCTATGCAGAACACATTTTTGGTGCTACTGAGATCATCCTGCTGACAGTGATGGCCTATGACCGCTATGTGGCCATCTGCAAACCTCTGCACTACACAGCCATCATGAGCCACAGTCTGTGCATTCTCCTTGTGGCAGTTTCCTGGATGGGAGGATTTCTCCATGCAACTATTCAGATTCTCTTTACAGTATGGCTGCCCTTCTGTGGCCCCAATGTCATCGACCACTTCATGTGTGACTTGTACCCTTTGTTAAAACTTGTTTGCATGGACACTCATACCCTTGGTCTCTTTGTTGCTTCCAACAGTGGGTTCATCTGCTTATTAAACTTCCTTCTCTTGGTGGTATCCTATGTGATCATCTTGAGATCTTTAAAGAACTATAGCTTGGAGGGGAGGCGTAAAGCCCTCTCCACCTGTATCTCTCACATCACAGTAGTCGTCTTATTCTTTGTGCCCTGTATGTTTGTGTATCTGCGCCCAGTGACCACTCTGCCCATTGATAAAGCTGTTGCAGTATTTTATACTATGGTGGTCCCAATGTTAAATCCTTTGATCTACACACTCAGAAATGCTGAGGTAAAGAGCGCAATAAGGAAGCTTTGGAGAAAAAAATGATTTCAGGTAATGATTAAATAAGACTGTTGAGCACTCAGCACAGAGGTAATAGGTATGTAAACTTCTTGATTTGTAGATGAATATATTGACTCTAACAAGGGTTTGGCTGATGTTGCAGATAGTCCCTAAAACGTAAAGCAAAAGTTTGGACTTTAAAGCTTACTGTTCTCTTATTCCATACTCCTGTCATCCCCACTATTGCTTTTTAATCAGTATGTATTCATCAATTGCCTGGAAATTTGAAACATCTCTAGTTGCTAAAAAGTATAAATGTAGAATATTACATTGATGTTGAAACAATCTTATGGTATAATGAGCTGTTGGTTACTGCTGATTATTGAAATTTACATGTTTAATAATATTTCTTTGCTTTGGACTCTGGCTTAATATATACACACTTTTGTAAATTTTCTTGGTCACTATACATTGGTCATATTGTAAAAAGATGTATTGTTCATCAAATGCCTGCAAGGTTGCATTATATTAAGTTTTTCCACACTGTATCGGTTAGGGATCACACAACTTCCCTGATTTGAGCAGTGAAAATTTATATAAAATTATTAATTATATGAGGGATTAACTATAAAGAAGTAAAGAATGCCCTGTGACTGAGAGATGAGTATCTAAGAAAGGAACACATTCAGGGCTGGGTGCTGTGGTTCACGCCTGTAATCCCTGCACTTTGGGAGGCTGAGGTGAGTGGATCACAAGGTCAGGAGATCAAGACCATCCTGGCCAACATGGTAAAACCTTGACTCTACTAAAAATACGAAAATTAGCTGGGCATGGTGGCACGTGCCGGTAATCCCAGCTACTTGGGAGGCTGAGGCAGGAGAATCACTTGAACCAGGCAGTTGGAGTTTGCAGTGAGCTGAGATGGCGCCACTGTACTCCAGTCTGGCAACAGAGCAAGATTCCATCTGAAAAAAAGAGAAAGGAACACATTTGGGAGCTGGGCTCCTTTCCTAAGGCTGAGATTCCAATATTTTGGAGAAAGTGTAGTTGTTGCCAATTGGATGCTGGAGAAGTTCACTGGGTAGTCTTGGGCCAGAACTTGTTCATGGTAGCTGGACAGAAGCTGACACACAAGAAAGTTGTCTGGGACTGGCCAGCTGGGAGCCTCCCATTGGGATGCTGGTAAATGAGGAACTGTAGCCTGGACCTGTAAGCAGGAAACAACCCTCTGGGGTGTAGGTGGACCAAGGCTACCCCATCACAGATAGGCAGTTTTGGAAAACTGATTGCTGGAGTATCTGTGTGATTCATTGGATTCTCCCTGAAGAGGTACCACTGGAGCTCAATGAGAAATTGTCCATGAAGTTGTCAGTGAAACTCAATGGAAGTGAGCACCTCTGAATGTCTCTCTCTCCCCCTGCCCTGCCCAGCCAAACACACATGCTACTGGAAGCTACATACAGCAAGATGAAAACAGAAACATTTAAATCAGGAAGACATGCCCCTTTCGATTCCCTATACTGACAAAACAACATCAAAGCAGACTATGTGCAGAGAATAAATTCTTACAGGGCTTATTTTCATTACGGAGCAGGCAATGAAGGTTGTATTTGGAGCTGAGAGGCAATACATTGATAACTAGCACTCAAATTTTATCCTTAATTCTTATAATACATTTTACAGGATATTGATGTGCATATATGTTGCATGATTTGACCAAACCTCAAGTTAGTGGCGGAATGAGATATAAACTGACATATGGCTCCTTATTCTACATACTTTGTTGGTAGTAGGTAGCTGCAACTATCTTTTTTATTGTAAAGCCTAAAAATGAACACAATTTATTAAATGATTCTGTATAAACTGTTATAACTTCATTTAATTTTACTGTTATGCACTGGAATCTGATTAATCCTTTCACTGAAGATAGACAGAGAATGAACAATTACTCAGAAGTGGTTTTATAGAAAAAATTTTAACATTGTTATTTAAACTTTTTTTTTTTTTTGAGACAGAGTCTCACTCTGTCACCTAGGCTGGAGTGCAGTGGCACAATTTCAGCTCACTGTAACCTCTGCCTCATGGGTTCAAGCGATCCTCCTGCCTCAGCCTCCTCAGTAGCTGGATCTACAGGAGTGTGCCACCATGCCTGGATAATTTATATATTTTTAGTAGAGATGGGTTTTTACCATGTTGGCCATGCTGGTCTCAAATTCCTGAACTCAAGTGATCCGTCTGCCTTGGCCTTCCAAAGTGCTGGGATTACAGGTGTGAGCCACCGCGCCTGGCTTATTTAAACTTTTAAGTAAGTTTTCATGATTTGGCAATTGTACTACTCTTCAAAGCATAAAGATCTAGTTTCTGCTCCCCTATCAAAAGGTGTATGGTGGGTCCCTAGGCATTAGACTTTGGCACGAGAACGGGAACAGGAATATGTAGAAAGGTAAAGTTATGAGAAAATCTGAGATCATAGCATCCAAGGACAAAACCAGAACTGATATACAAGGTGATTGAAATTTCAATCTGGCAGAAAGGCAAAATCACACGTAAGTCACCAAGACAGGTACCTGCCTCAAGCTACCCAAGTAAGTTTAGATGGTGGGTAGAAGACGGATCCAGGAGAGATCCCTGGGACACAACTCTGGAGTGTCTTTTGACTCATTCTAGAGTAGTGAAGAAATTAATAAAGATGAACAGACAGTTTGAATAGAAAGGTTGTCAGTGAAGCTGGTAATGCTTGTTAAAACTTTCATAAGGGTTCCCCACTGAGCATATGCAGGTGGCCTTAGAGATGATCATTAGATAAACAGCCTTAGTAAAGATGACTTTACTCATTCTCCATTCCCTTTTGTATCCCTGAATCTGTGTTCCTCAGACTACCATGCCTCAACTTCCAGCTCTACCATCCATATCCAGCTCATTCCTGAATGTTTCTGTACTTTGACTTAGCATCAATAATTCCATCAACTGTCATAGAGAAGCCAAACTACACTTAACATATTATGCTTTTCATGAACAGTTTGGATTTAGAAAGATATTAATCACAAATAGTAGAATCTTTTTTTCTTGGTATAATCTATTGCATGTATTAAAAAATTTTTTTTGCCATAAGTTATTGGGGTACAGGCAGGTGGTATTTGGTTACATGAGTAAGTTCTTTAGTGGAGCTTTGTGAGATCCTGGTGCACCTATCACCGGAGCAGTATGCATTGCACCAGACTTGTTGTCTTTTATCCCTCAACCCCCTCCCACTCTTCTCCACAAGTCCTCAAAGTCTATTATATCATTCTTATGCCTTTGCATCTTCATAGCTTAGCTCCCACATATCAGTGAGAGCATACGATGTTTAGTGTTGCATTCCTGAGTTACTTCACTTAGAATAATAAGACAGGTATTCGTATCTTTACAATAAAAAATCAACTACATATTATAAAATAATTATATCACATAATTTAATTTCTAATATTTCTTTGCTTTATTGAAGTAATACTGACAAACAAAAATTGCATATATTTCAAGTATGCAATCTGTTTTGATATACGTGTACACTGTAAAATGATTACCACAATCAAGCTAGTTGACGTAGCTCTCACCTCACATGGGTAGTTTTTTTTGGGGGGGTAAGATTTAAGATCTATTCTCTTAGTAAATTTCAAGTATACATTACATTATTAATATTAACTATAATCACCGGGCTGTACATTTGATCTTCAGAGCTTTATTCATCTTGTTGAACTGAAACTTGGCACTTTTAGACCAACATCTCTCCATTACGCCCATTCCTCCAACCCCTGCCAACCACTATTCTGCCTCTATGCCTTGCCTCCAGGTCTTATTTCTGAGGATAGGTCCTAGGATCACCTATGTGTGTAATATTTAATACTACGTTGAGACTTGAACATGATTCAACATATTTGGAACCTCATTAATCTTCTCTGTCTCCCTGCCATCCAGTGATCTAAGCCAGGGCCCAAGTTTCATCCGTGACTTCTCTCTCTTTCATCTCATCCTATATCAAGTTCTTTTGTTTAGAGTTCAAAAATATTCTTTGAAATCTTCTATATCTCTCCATATTAGTTTGATTTCCCTAGATTCGGAAGATATGAGAATTTTAATAAAAGTGCTCTATAAGGGGAAAAGATTGAAGGAAATCTTCTATAGCAGGGGAAGGAAGGATGTGCTGTCAACTAGTCTTCCTTTAGCCTGGAGCCCTGGGAGCTCTGAGGTATACATTATACTACAGAGCTGCTTTCACCTTGAGACAAAGTAACTAACCTCTTGAACCCGATTCCAGTCAGTCATCCCTGGTGGGCCTGAGGAGGGTGAACAAAATACCCCAAATGATGCAGCTCCCATTTTATCTGGTGCAATTGTCCAGGAAAGGGTAAGGCTGTGAGCTTTTAGCAGCTGAGGCCCACAGTAGCTGGGGCATGCATGCATGCACTGGCCTGGTGAAGGGGATTTGAGTTGGACACAATAGTGTCTACCACGCTCTGTGTCCTCACTGACAACACCAGGACTGAGGCCTCCAGCCTTTCACACTGAAATAAGGACAAAAACCCCTAGGTGCTCTCCTGCTTCCAGTCTTGATCCTTCAATCCATTTCACATCCTGTAGTTAGGATTATCATTATAAAGTTAAAATCTAACTGCGTCACTCTCTAGCTTAAAAATACCTTCCTTGTTTCTCCCGTGGTCCTTAGCATTAAGTCTTAACACAACTATAAGACCCCTCTTGATATTCTCTTTTCCTGTCTCTCTAGCTTCATGTCTTACAGTTTACAAGATTTTATAAGTTCAGTGTCTAGCATGGAGCCTGGCACACAGTTGGGGTTCAGTAAATAATTGCTGAATGAATGGGTGAATTACTAATCATGGCCATATTGTACCGACTAGGTTTCCCGCATACTCTTTTCATTTTCTGGCCTTTGTTATGTGTTCTCTTTCCTAGAAGCACTGCTCTCAGCTTCATTCCTATTCATCCTGCTGAGTCCTTTTCATCCTTCTGGTCCCATTTTTGATATCTTTTCATCTAGGAATCCTTTTATAACCCCTCAGGTCTGTGTGTCTTCTCTTTCGCTCATTTCTTAATGAATCTTCAGCTCTCTGAAGGCAGGACCTGGGTTTCTCTTTATTCACCACGGATGCCCTAGCAATTTTCAGTGTACCTGATGCATTCCTTGGGCTCAAAATGTTGTTAATCAATGAACAAGAAATAGAAGGAACGAATGAAGAATATTTATTCTGAAATGGCTTTGGGTGTAGACAGAGCTACATAGTCATAAAAACAGTTTTTATCTTGTGAGGTGCTGTGGGAGTGGGGCCTACAGATCCAGGCAGCTTGGCCTCCTGGATTCAGCCCCCTTCCTAGGGGTATGCAGGGACCTCCCACCTTGCCTGAGTTGCAGACATGTTTGTTGGGGACCCTCAGGCCAGAGTTTGTAAAGCTGCTGGGTCTCTGTGTGTGCCTGAGCAGCTGCTCTTTGACTCTGCGCAGCTCTGTGTGTAGGGCCCAAGGCCCTGGTGGTCTCGGCTCACGAGGGGATTGCCTGATCTGCGGGTTGCAAAGATCCATAGGAGAAGCATGGTTTTCCGGGGTTGCATATTCACTCATCGCATTGTGGGGGTTCCCTTGGGTCACTGTTGCTCCTCGGTGGGCCATACCCCTGTACTGCTTTTCTTCATTCTCTGTGGTTGGAGTTGTTTCCCTGATCAGTCCCAAATGCGAGTACCCGAATCTTTCAGTTGAAGGTGCTGTATTCACTTGTCCTTTTTTTCCCTCTGTGAGTGCCACGGATCTCAGCTGCTTCTAATTGGTGATCTTGGACCCCTCCCCAAAACAGCTTTTAATAATAAAATGTTACCAAAAAGCAAGCTGATTGACAGAGAAAGAGAACATAAATAGTGCATAATCATAAAATAAAATATTGCTGAAAGCAGAAAATTTCAAGATTAACTACTTGTTCACATGCTAGGAATTTGCTTCTATTTCTTTTGCATTCTTCAGCATAAGGAGTAAAAACAAAAGGTGGTTCCCCTAAGAAGTCCAGTTAGAATTCTCCTTAGTGCCTGAGTCAGGTAGGAAAGAATTTCCATCTCCAGTACTATTTTTTTTTAGCTCTACATTTTGTTGAATTCATTTACCTTTTTTAATACTTCTATTCATTCATTCGATGTTTATTGTGTACCAGACATTGTGCTACCTTGTGGCAATTATTGCTATCTAGTAGGCAAGCAGTTAATGGAACATGATTGTATATTTAACTAATAGAAATTTCTGCCTGAAATTCAAATGCTCTTTTATTGGAGTCACCACTCTTTCTGATGGGTTTTTGCATAACATGGGTGACATGAGCAATACAAAGTGATTCAGAAGCCTACACTGACATTTGGAAACATGATATAAACTTCATTACCTACCCATGAGGGTTTAAATGGCCCACTGCTATTACAGCCTTAAAGGGGTTAGATACCCTAATGTTTCAGAAAACAAATGACCATCAATTATGATGTATAAAAAAGTAGAGTGATTAATACAAATTCTTATGTTTTTAGTTAGATAATAAATGAATACATGCAATGTGCCTAGCATAGTCTCTGGTTCCAGAATGGTGAGTAGTATAATTAACTGACCTTTCATTATCACTCTGTGGCAGAATATCGTAGCAGTGAAGAGTATGGTCTGGAACATCAGTCACAGTTTGATTACTGGCTCGTTAATATATCTATTTTGATATCTTCCTTTTCCTGTCAGTTTCTTCACTTGTAAAGTGAAGATAATAGTAGTGCTTACCTCTTTGAAGTGTTCTAGACATTACTTCTAGATACCAATATATTCTGTTATTTCTTTTGTTTGTGAGTGGAAAACCTGTGAATCTATATAGAACATGAAGCTAGTAAAACCAAGCTCCAACTTGGTAGAATTTCCCAAATAGGCAGAGTTGTCCTGGGTCGTTTTCTCTCTTTCCTTGAGCTGTTTCTCTACCCTTCCATGCAGAATCTATGAATCATACGGGCATTGTTTTCTTTATCCAATCAATTTGCCCCACTGCGGTTATCTAAAATGTCCTTTTGACCTTTCCTAAATGGAATCAATGTTGGGCCCTAGTTACATTTATTTGTCACCTGAAATGCCCTTTCTACTACACAGTTTCCGAATGGCATTTTTCATCTGAGCATTCCTCAAGGTATAGATTAAGGGGTTTAACATAGGAGTTATCATAGTGTAGAATACAGCAACTGCTTTATCAACAGATAAAGTAGCTGCAGGTCTCATGTACACAAATATGCAGGGCACAAAGAATAAGACAACAACTGTGATGTGGGAGACACAAGTGGAGAGGGCTTTGTGCCTTGCCTCCAAGCGGTGGGTCCTTAGGGAGCGCAAGATAACCACATAGGAGATCAGCAGGAGGACAAAGTTTAACAAGCAGATGAATCCACTGTTGGCAGCAACGAAGAGTCCTAGAGTGTGGGTGTTAGTGCAGGCAAGATTGAGCAAAGGGTTCAGATCACACATAAAGTGATCTATGACATTAGGACCACAGAAAGGTAATTGGAAGATGAAGAGGATCTGCATGGTTGCATGAAGAAAGCCTCCCATCCACACCACTCCCATTAGCAGGGCACACACACGCCGGTTCATGATAGTCATATAGCGCAGGGGCTTGCAGATGGCCACATAGCGGTCATAGGCCATCACAGTAAGTAGGATGCCCTCCGCACCTCCGAAGAAATGTTCTCCAAAGACTTGAGTCATGCATCCGTTGAATAGGATGGTCTTCTTTTCATAGAGTGAATCTGTGATTAGCTTAGGGGTATTTACAGAGGAATAGCAGGCATCAATAAAGGAGAGATAGGCCAGGAAAAAGTACATGGGGGACCCCAATGATGGGCTGGCAGTGATGGTGACCACAATGAGCACATTTCCCACCACAGTGATGATGTAGATGACAAAAAACACAACAAATGTGATTTTCTGCAACTTTGGATTCTCTGTAAGCCCCAGTAGAACAAACTCTGTCACATTATTCCTATTCTCCATGTATTTCATGTGATGATTAATTACATTACCTGAAAAAAATTTTTTATTAATAAAACTTGGAATTTATTACACATCTCCATTTTAACAAATAATAAATGCTTGAATTGTATTGAACTGTAAATTCTTATAAGGTTTTTCTTGAGGCGTTAATAAATTTTCAGTTTCTCAGTTCTTGAAGATTACTTGGTGAAGACTCTGTTAAGAGTATAGCCATGAGGAACTCTTGTGAGCAAAGTCAGGATGTAGTCGGTTACTCAATCATCTGGGATGCCTAACAGTCTGATTTGAAGTAGCAGATTGGATACACAGCAGCAGCTAAACCTGAAAAGGGAGATTGATGATGAATTTAAAGGCCATGGTTGTAAAGCTAAGGAATTTGCCCTTTATTCTTTAGGAAACAGGGAACATTGGTAGGTTACTGTGAATATGAGTGGGAACACAAAGAAGAATTTGAAGGGTAGGAATCTTGGAATATCCTGCTAGTAAAAGTCTTTGTGTGTCTTGGATGAAGTGGGCTGAGGTTAGCCAGAGAAAGGAATCCCAGTGGGCAGAGTATTTAGAGTACTTGACATAAGAAGTAACTGGGAGTTGGTGACAGAAATGTAAAAAAAGGATATAAGAGCTACTAAAAGAATTCATAATGCTTATTGTTGAAATCTAACTTTATAATAGCAAATATCATATGCCCTTTAATAGTTAATTGCCTTGCACAAGACATAGTAGTACTTTGCACACATGATTCCAGTGAACATTTATTTCATCCTAGGTAGTTGGTATTATTTCATCAATTTTTCAGATAAGGCAGCAATATTAGAGACTGTTAATAGTTATGTTAACATGATGATATTTATATTGCACAAAATATGGTATTTATGTTAACATACTACTCATGGTTATAATATTGATAATATTAACTAAAACATACTGAGCATTAGTGTCTTCTAAATGTTTTTTGCAGGCAGTCACAAAATAAACCCAGAAAATAGCACTATCATTTTTATACGAATTTTATATATTAGGAAATAGAAGCATAGGGAAGTTAAAGATCCCATCCAAGATCAAACAGTTTAATAAAGGGCATAGCCAAGATTAGTCACATTATACGAGTTATTTTTTTCTCCCCAAATTCTGAGCCCTATGTTGTTATAATAAACAATGTTGAACTAATAATCTCCTTTTGATATGACCATTATGATTATAATTACTTTAATACTCCTTCAGAGGCAATTTTATGGGGCAATTTCATTAGCAGCAACCCCCTGCCCCACCCACAACACAGTGACATCTTTGAACTCTCAAATATTAAGAAAAATGTGGTATTGAATCATTGAAGGTACATCTATTGTAGCTTCTCCCCAAGTCCCAGCTCTTTCCTCAACACCACCCCACACCAAATCATGGGACCCCAGACTCTTGGGCAAAATGTTGATAATGACAGTTACAGTGGCCAATTATATTAGATTTAGAATTAGAAATATATTTGATTAGAATCATTGTTTTTCCACTTGCAACTTTTTAAAGGCAGAGCACGTTTCTCGGCACCTTTCATGTTGTTTCCTCGTCTATAAAGTGTGAATAACAACATCATCTTACAGGTTGTTATGAAAATTGATTGAGGGAACATATAAGAAAACGTCTACCACAGTGCTGTGGATGCACATAGGACTTTCTTTACTTTTATAAGTGTGTATACAGCTAGGAGGTAGGAAGAATTGATCATTAGAACAATAAACAGAGTCATTATCCATGCAATAACCTCAGGAAGAATGATCACCAACAGTACTCTTAAAGAAGCCACAGTGTCTCATATTGTTTGTAGCAGTTGATTCCAAGAAGGATTCTTCATGTTAGTGCTTGGACTAAACAGTTACAGGACTATGCCATTAGTATTCATATTTATGTCCTTTGTGTATATGATGTGTGTTTAAATTTTATTTTCATCTTCATGGCTAGTCTAATTATTAAAGGGGTATCTCATGGCAGAAGCTTAGTACCCAGTGTCGGAGAGCTGGGTCCTACAAATTGCTTAATTTCTAAGATCCTCAAAATTTTCAATTGTCAAATTAGGCGAATTATATTTACTATCTTTTGAAAAATTTGGATAAGGATGAAAGACTCTATTTGTTATGTTTGAGATGTTGAAAAATAACGATCACTGACTACGTAAAGGAACAGTCTTTAATAAACATCAGTAATAGTGGAAAACTTACCTTAGTAGCCTTAGTAGTTAGATGATCTTAATGATGTTTGGAAGTGTTCAGAAATAATCCTCTTCAAACTGATCTTCTTTGTAGTAAGTTTTAGTGTGAAAGATTGGACAATCTTTGGAAATAGCCTATTCAGATAATTCAATGTTAAATCAACAGTTGTTAAGAAGCTGTATACATTAAATGTGTAGTTTTTTGGTATATCAGTTATAATTCAATAAACAAAGTGTTCTTATAAGTATAAATCTTTTTATCTGGCCTAAGTCTCAAAAATTTTCACAGAAAATTTGAATTAAATGCAACTTGAATTAAAATGGATTCACTGGAAACACCATGAAGAATTGATTATCTGTTGCTGTGGTTCCACAGTGCAAGAGGCTGAAGGTGGGGGGGAAACAGCTATAAATGGATCACTTTGCCCATGATTAATCTTGCTGTGGATAAGTGAACAAGAAAAACGTTTCTGTATTGCATTGCATGAATATTTAAAGAAGTTTCCATAAAGATTCAGGGATCTTTTTTTTATAGCTGCTGCTTTCTGTCCTAGGAATTAATTATCTCCTTTGATGGAAAGACTTTGGCACAGAAGCAGTATTCTGGAGAGAGACGTTTGGGGAAAAAAAAAAAAAACAAAAAAACAACAGTTCCTGAATGAATGATTTCATTCCTTACACTTGGAACCTAGTACTATGAGTCCTCTTTCTCTATCTGAACCTGGGTTGTTAAGCATGCTGAATGCTATGTGAGTAGCAAGGTAGTGTAACTTGTATGTGGACCTGTTATATAGTTTCTCTGTTGATACATGTCACAGGAAGCTTCTATTTAAAAAAAAAAATCAACATTACACATTTTCCTGGAAACATGCTATTAATTGCTTGAGATCTAGAGCAGTGAGGGCATGAAACTAATTGTGGCCATTTAATTAATTTTAAATTTTAAATTTAAAAATATTTAATTGACAAAGATTGTATATATCCAAGGTAGACAACATGTTGATTTGATAGCTGTGTACATTGTGTAATAGTTATTATAGAAAATTAACACATACATTACTAATCATGATATACATGAGATCCTCAGAACTTATTCATCTTATGGATGAAAGATTGTTCTCTTTGATAAGCAGATTCCCATATCCCTCATCCCCCAGGCCCTGGCAACCATCATCCTACCATCATTCTCTCTGTTTCTATGAGTGTGACTGTTTTAGATTCTGCATATATGTGGGATTATACAGCATTTGACTTTTTTTAAATTGCATTTTAGGTTTGGGGGTACATGTGAAGAACATGCAAGATTGTTGCATAGGTACACACATGGCAATGTGATTTGCTGCCTCTCTCCCCTTCACCTATATCTGGCATTTCTCCCCATGCAATCTCCCCCCAACTCCCCACCCCCTGCTGTCCCTCCCCTCTTTCCCCCCAACAGACCCCAGTGTGTGATGTTCCCCTCCATGTGTCCATGTGTTCTCATTGTTAAACACCCGCCTATGAGTGAGAACATGCGGTGTTTGCTTTTCTGTTCTTGTGTCAGTTTGCTGAGAATGATGGTTTCCAGGTTCATCCATGTCCCTACAAAGGACACGAACTGATTGATTTTGATGGCTGCATAATATTCCATGGTGTATATGTGCCACATTTTCCCTGTCCAGTCTATCATCGATGGGCATTTGGGTTGGTTCCAGGTCTTTGCTTTTGTAAACAGTGCGGCAATGAACATTTATGTGCATGTGTCCTTATAGTAGAGCGATGTATAATCCTTTGGATATATACCCAGTAATGAGATTGCTGGGTCAAATGGAATTTCTATTTCTAGGTCCTTGAGGAATCACCACACTGTCTTCCACAATGGTTGAACTAATTTACACTCCCACCAACAGTGTAAAAGTGTTCCTATTTCTGCATATCCTCTCCAGCATCTGTTGTCTCCAGATTTTTTAATGATTGCCATTCTAACTGGCGTGAGATGGTATCTCAATGTAGTTTTGATTTGCATTTCTCTAATGACCAGTGATGATGAGCATTTTTCCATATGTTTGTTGGCCTCTTGTATGTCTGCTTTTGTAAAGTGTCTGTTCATATCCTTTGCCCACTTTTGAATGGGCTTGTTTGTTTTTTTTCTTGTAAATCTGTTTTAGCTCTTTGTAAATTCTGGATATCAGCCCTTTGTCAGATGGGTAGACTGCAAAAAATTTTCCCATTCTGTTGGTTGCCGATTCACTCTAATGACTGTTTCTTTTGTCGTGCAGATGCTGTGGAGTTTGATTAGGTCCCATTTGCCTATTTTGGCTTTTGTTGTCAATGCTTTTGGTGTTTTGGTCATGAAGTCCTTGCCTACACCTATGTCCTGAATGGTTTTGCCTAGATTTTCTTCTATAGTTTTTATAGTGCTAGGACTTATGTTTAAGTCTTTAATCCATCTGGAGTTAATTTTAGTGTAAGGTGTCAGGAAGGGGTCCAGTTTCTGCTTTCTGCACATGGCTAGCCAGTTTTCCCAACACCATTTATTAAATAGGGAATCCTTTCCCCATTGCTTGTTTTTGTCAGGTTTGTCAAATATCGGATGGTTGTAGACATGTTGTGTTGCCTCCAAGGCCTCTGTTCTGTTCCATTGTTCTATATCTCTGTTTTGGTACCAGTACCATGCTGTTTTGATTACTGTAGCCTTGTAGTATAGTTTGAAGCCTGGTAGTGTGATGCCTCCCACTTTGTTCTTTTTGCTTAGAATTGACTTGGCTGTGCGGGCTCTCTTTTGGTTCCATATGAAATTTAAGGTGGTTTTTTCCAGTTC